ACATATTTACAGCCTGTTCAGTTTAAAAAAAATGTCATAAATCTGCACATAAAAAATGTGCATGAAACTGTTTTCTTCTTCCTTGTTCTCCATTGTTCTGCAGGAACACACAAACACACAGACCCCTGATGGGTGACAGCTCTCTGAATAGACTTCCAGTAATAAAGCCCCCCACCCTGACACACACACGCACACACACACACACACACACACACACAAAACACAGCAGCTGTTCCTGACACTGTCGCTCTTTTTGGCACTTTGTTCTCTAACCTACAAAGACTCGCTGCTAATGATGATCTGCTAATGATGATGATCCTAACTGATCACAAGAGACAAAAATGTTCTCCCCTGTTGTGTGTTTCAGGATCTCAAATATTTTATTATAAGAGAAAACATTTAAATGTTTTTTCTGAAAAATGATTTCACTCATATAGTCAGCGATGCACCAACAAGATTATCTAAAATGAACTTAATCTTAAAGAATATCCCTTCAGAAAATCTTATTTTATTGATCTATTGTGAACAATCAGCCCCCTGACTTTCTCTGTGTTGTTGGAGAAGTGAAGCGTATCAGAACCAGTTCCAAAAAAAATAGGTTGGATTTTTATTATGAGGTATTAAACATTTTTCATCCACAGTTTTTGTTGCCGTTGGACCAGAACGACGACTCTGCGGGCTACGGCAAATTATTTGGGAGCCGACGGAGCGCTGAGCTGTTGTTACACTTCTACACAAAGGGTGAATTTCTGGTGAAGCTCTCTTCAATCAAGCATGGAACACATTTAAAGTAAAACCTCATAAAAGATCAGCGGTCGGCTCACCAGCCTCTTGTAAAACACATGACCCGCCTCGTGCAAAGAAAATAATGAGAGCGAGTGGATTTAGTAACTAGTGTTTGCAATTTTTATTTTTCTGTCGTAAATATGCACATACTGTAGGAACAACCAGCAAAATGTTTTAAAACACACATTTACAGGTTCACGTGCACAACACATTTTCACAGGTTCACCAGAGGCAGCAGCAGAAAAAAAAAAGAAAAAGGTGAAAAAGAGTGTAAAGGCGACACAGAACATGACTGAATTACAGAATTACACCTGTACAGTATCATATACGTCTCTACAACACATGAAGCTTTAGTGTCCGGCCCCTTTAATAAACATTTGGCATAAATACAAGAAACTCAAATGACAAAAAGCACAGTGCAAATACTAAAGAAATGATCGACCATACATCAATTAAAGCCGATAAGTACACTGCACATTAATGCCACCATTACAAGAAACATGTTAATCAGTTTGTTGTTACAAATAGAAATACGATTCTCATTATTAGAAGGTATTTTAATTGAAAAACTGGTTATTGCTGCTTAAATGTTTGTTTACCAGAAACCTCAGCTGAAACATCACGTGCTCGTCTTGTTTTGGTGGAAAGCTAAGCAAAATCCTTAACGCCTCATTAAAGGCAGGAATGTTTCTCATATAACATCTCTGGTTGATTAGTTGTTATAATGAGGTAAAAGTCAAGTCAACTTCTAAAGACGTTGTTTTATATTAATTAACTGCACGATGTTACTGATGCAGAATGTGGTCTTGTATGTAGTGGGACGGATTCCCCCTCCCTCTGACAATCTTAAGCAAAGTCCTGATCCCTGCTCGTTGCTCTCCAAACACTTGGATCATAGATCTGTTACATCTATGATTGTGTGTGGGGTGTCTCTCATTTCAAACATCTGCTAAGATTGTATAATTATTTCAGTGTTGACCAGACCTTAGTCGACTACTATGATACCCAGAGCAAATATTTATTGTTATGATGGCACCAAGAAGCAGCAGTAGATTATTCATATATCACAATTTCTTTACATAAAAAAAAAAATCTGTAACTGCTCAACACTGAGCATGTTCTTCTGATACAGGGGGCTGAAATATGAGCTTATGTTTCACTAACTAAGGCATGATCAGGTTCTGTTTCATTGCTGCACAGTCGGACCAAAACTTCATCAGGTCACTTAGGAAGTCACAAGCACTTCTTCACAGAGAGGACGCTTCTCTCTCGTTCTTCAATGGACGGAATGCAGAACAAGTCATCACTAAGTGAAATAAATAGGTTAATAAATAAATTGAATTCATGATGAAAATAAAGGATGATTTAAGATAAGGATTAGAGCACTCGACCAGGATATGAGTGCAAACACTGGAATGATAGTAACAGAAGATTTGACTGAACTTCTCAGCTGGAATGTAACATTTCTAAGACTAGTTCAAAAACGCTCATAACAGAATATGCAGAATTTGAACTATTTTAAATTAGAGGGAAAACTGCATTTTTTTGTCTCAATATAATCAATTAAGAAAGATGACTTCATAGGCTTTTCAAAATAAACTTCAAAACTGTGCACTTTCACAATAAGACTAAACTAACTGTGTTTATGACATAACAGCGCTTCTTACCTGTCTTAATTCAGCCAGGTAAGAAGCGCTGATTTGTGTTACCCTTTCAAGGCAATAAGGCTGATTTCAAGGTGCAAAGAAAAAGGATTCAATACGGCTCAAAACAATGTCGTAGTCAGGATTATATGTTTATGGATATTTGACGGAGAATTTGACTGCACCTGATCAGATGTGTGACGACACCTTCAAACCCAGGTCAATCCCTCGTCCTCTGACTGAATTCATATTCAGCTAAATGCATCACAATCTGTCTGGACTCAGCAGGTTGATGTGCTGATCATATTTTATGTTCCCTTTGGGGAAATTAAATGAAATGAGATAGCCGAATACGTATACTCTCATGCAATCCTGACTTTTTCCTGGAATGGACAAAAAGTTGTATGTTTTGTAAAAAAAAAAAAAAAAAAAAAAAACAAGATCTCCACATTTTAAGGTTCCTTGATGGATCTAATTTTGAATAAAAAGTGAAGTGCTTTTGGTCCTTTCTAAAATTAATCTGAATAAAATCTGCATATGCAAAAAAATGATTGTGTTAATCAAAACAGCTAGCAGATTTGTTATGGATTTTTTTTTCTCCACAAAAGAAAGAGCAGGGAACTGTCCACATTAAGGTTGTCAACAAACCAGAATGTCATACTTAGATATGACCATAGGAAATGATCAAACAATATCCATACCGGTTTCAAAACCAAGGCAACAAAAAGAGAAGTCCTAGATGCCAAATATTGCACAATTTCTTGTTTTTAATTACCTAAACTGAAAGAAATCTCCTGCACCTTGTCTAAACTGCACAAATATGTTGGCACTGTTTCAGCCATTTAGACAGTGCTATCTCTCTCTCTTCCTCTTGCAGCAAATTTTGGTGAAAATCTGACTGAACATCTGACTTTCTTATGAAGCTTTGGTACTTTTTCGATGTGCTCATTCACTTAAATAATGGAGCTTGTATCATATTAAAACATGTATCTATAGGTATCAGAGTATCTCACTGTGACAACCTTATACACATCAAGGTCTGTCGTTTTTATTTTGGGAATAACTGAGAAATACCAGAGACTGATAAACCAGGGACATGGAACCAAAGCTTTCAGCACTGATTGATACATGTCAGAAAGAACTGATCTCAAGGATGCAGACTCCAGAAAATGACTGTTTTACAGATACCGAATAAAACTCTCCTTAACCTGACTGAAGCCAAAATCTTCCTCCATCCTTCATATAGCTCTTGTTTCAGAGCCAACTTCTTGTAAAATATAGACATTCACTGCACAGATAAACTCTCTGAGGGACCTGTTAAAGAAGCTGTGACGTATCCGTGAAGCCAGTAAAACATCTCATGGACAGCTCTTCACCACACTATACTACAGTATGTACTTTTACTACACCTGGATCTGTAGGTTAAAATCGCTTCCAGAGAATCCCTCAGGACGGCTCAGGTTTAGGAAGTATAGCTCACATAGTGTCAGATTCACATGTGTGGATCTATACTAAGCCAGTGGGATGTTAAAGAAAAGCTCAAAAGAGAGCAGACGCAGTGATGCTAAATCCCATGAGAATATTTTGAGATTGAAGTCTAGGGGGGGAAAGCAAATCCTGCTTCTCCAGAGTAGAACAACAGGTGTGGGTTTTTTTCTGTACAGGGGAAGAGGACAGAGTGTGAGGACCATCTGAAGTGAGTTTAGTGGAAGCCGGGGAGTTAAGGAGGCAGGAAGAGGCTGGATGTGGAGATCAGGCGGCTCTTTGCCACATGTTTAGACGTGAGCGGCACGTGAACGGGCGAGATCAAACACAAACCAGGTGTTCTCATGTAATCAAAGCTGCTTCACATTGTGGTAGAGTGTTTGTGTTTACAGGACACAGTGTTCAAGAGCCTCTTTCCTTTCAATACATCAACAAAAAGGAGGAGCCCGAGGGAGCTCAGGCGACAGAGATCAAATCCAGTCTCAATAAACATTCACGCGGCAAAAACTCAAATCAGAGCGAATTAAATTGTTAAATTTGAAGTGACAAATATCTGATAGCACTTAACAGAATCCACATTCACGTGACAAGTACAGATAAATATCTTATTTGAAGACGTAAAAAGCAAAATATAAAGGCTGAGTTGATTGTAATGAGTAGATAGATGTCAAAGCAGCGAGCTAATTTCACTTTAGCCATTTAAATTGAGATGCCTCTATCTAAACTGTTCAGTACATCTCATTTAAAGACACTTAACAAGAATATTTTCCTGCATTGGAATGCATGCAATCCAGGCCTAAACCTTGAAATAAGATGTTGATCTGGACTTGTCAGCTGAGTGTTGCTTATAGTAAGAGTAATAAGATATTTTTGACTATAAATTAGAGGAATACACTTGATAACGATTTGAGTTTTTGCAGTGAACTTGCACTTTCCTGGCAGAACATCAGAAGAACAGGAGCATCCTCGATGTAAAAAAGATGTATCAGTAGGAATAATAGGTTAGGATGAGGATAGGTTAGGATGAGGTTAGGATGACGGAGCATTAATGCTGGGTTTGCAGGTGTTACTCTTTGGGGGGGGGGGGTGGTCTCATCATGCCAGCAGCTTCTCGGGGTTCTTCGAGAGGGTCTGCAGCAAACTCGTCTGGAAGTCCTCTTCAGGTATTTCAGGAACCAGGAACTCCAGCAGAAGATCAAATATGCAGTAGACGAGGTGTCTGTTGGAAAACGGGGACAGCAGTCAGCGGCTTTTCTTTAGTGGTGAATGAAAATAAGACTGAGTGAGGAGATGATACATGGCATAACTGCTTTGTCTGACTTACAGACCTGTAACAGTCAGGTGTGTCTGTCAAGAGCATAGTCTGTATGTTAAGATGGATGGAGCAAATATGTAGAGCTCCCCCTGCTGACTGGCTGCAGTATAGGTCATAAAGCCTCCTCCATGTTTACAGATGGGAGATGGATCAAACTATAAAATTATAATTCACATCAAATACATTTTTGTCAAACCAGAATTCTGTTGTGATGATTCCCTTCATGCTGATATATGTCCATCTGTGTTTTTATTTGTTATTTGATGCAAAAAAAGAGCAAACGAGATGGTTCATCTCAAGGGGCTATCCATCAATAAGAAAAACGATAAGGACAGCACTCCAAATTTTATATTTTAATTGCCACACGAAGGTTTTGAGTCTCGGCTCTTCCTTTTTCCTTTATCAAAAAAAAAAATTACCTGTTCAAACGCTGAGGAAGAGCCGAGGCTTGAAACGTTCGTGTGGCAATTAAAATATAAAATTTGGAGTGCTGTCCTTATCGTTTTTCTTGTGTTTTTTGTCTATAAGCTATCCATCAATAAACAGAATTTACTTGAGATTTAACATCCCGATTGACAGCTCTGTTGACAAATGTGGCTCCTTGTAGTGTTCTGAACCAGGTTATCAGAGTAAAGGAGGAACAGGGAGAGAAAATGAACAATAATGTCGTTGAACTTTCCATAACCGTAAGTATCTGCTTCAAACTGACACGAGAATCTGTTCTGCTTTGGACTGAAACCACGTGAGGGATCTAAATGAAGGAAGTTTAGCTCCAAATTATGTCACCAGTGCAACATATCAGAGTTGGGGGGGGGAGAGACAGAGTTGTGTTGTTCATTTTGATATACAGTTAATGCCATGAGTATGAACTCTCACCATCGGGAGGATATTACAGAGACTCCAAAAGCAAACTGAGCCGCTTAAAAAACACATTTCTGCCCACCTTGATCAAAGTTTTAAGTAACGTTTCTTGATGCTACATCGGTTTTGCAGTCATGAGTTCACTAAACGATCTAGCTCTTAAGAATATGGGAGGGCGATTTCAGCATATGAAAAGTGTTCTATATTTTTTTCTATGGTGATGTCTGTCTGGAGCTCTATTTGTCAAAACTAAACACAGCATTATAAGGAGCTGAGTGTGTCTCTACATCTGTAAACCTTTATGGACGTGTCCAGCGGGTTTTTTACTCTGACCTTGTTTGGTGAAGAAATTAGACCACACTGAATGAATCCAGGTGAGCTTCTATTCGTGTCTGAGCGTAATCAAGAAAGAACAACCCCTGACCATTTGATTAGATACACCTGATGGTTAACAGAAATACAGCACACCATGTGAATCAGAGGATATGAAGCATGCAGGCGGATTTATCAGGACCATCAGGTAATGTTTTAATGTTAGAGTCGACATGACCGGTGAGCTTTGCATGACCGGGGCGGTGACATCATGGCTCCTCGAGCTGCCTTCTCCAACAGAAACACATTTGTTCAGATCTTTGACCTACATCGTGCAGCTTATGCTGAGAATAAGGTGATGACCAAAAACACATGCAGTCATTTGAGAGGAGAATAAAGGCCAGAGGAGACTGTTGTATAAGGGTTTACAGGCAGAATAAAAGATCAATCTCTGAATGACTTTAAGAGAAGCAAAACTATTTTTATTTCTATCGACTAAAATGTAACATAGAAGACTTCAGAAGTCACCAAACTTGAAGGGCAGGAGATGGAGGTTGTCGCATGGTGCGAGCAAAATGAAGTACTGATTGAATTTGTCTGTTGTTAGAAAACAATGAGCTGGTTATTATGTATGCTAAAAATGTCATTAACTCAGTATTTATCAACATTTCATAGGACTGCATTTATAAAGAAAAAATCTGGGGGGAGAATTCTGATATGTTAAAAAATAATCAGTATGTGTCCCAAATCACCTACTACTCACTATATAGTAAACTAAAGGGAATTCCCCATGTTTTGGGGCTGTCCCAATTATGAATGAGCATTATTTTACCCTATCTAGTGGACTCATGGTGTCCCACACTGCATTGTAAAAAGGAAAGAACAAAGGATGATCCCTAACCAAACATATACCATCATGCATTGCATGGGAAACTGCAGACGGACATGTGCATGCATGAGACTAACAAACGAGTAGTGGCACGGAAATATGATTTCATTATATAACTCACTTATATAATATATGCATTTAATTCGTTTTAACAGAATTTTGCAGGCCAGCATTGAGCTGCACGTTTTTATTGCATGACAGTTATGACGTCATTATCAGCATCCTGGGCGAGTATTATCCAGCAGTGATTTTTAAATGTACCAGTGAGCTCACTATATAGACCTCTACAGAGAACTCCCTAAGGTGGCAGCACATGTACAACATGAGGCTCAGCACCTCCGTCTACTATCCACTGTACATACTGTAATACCCTCCACTGATCTATTTTCATATCTATGATATACATACACATTCAAACCAAAGATTTACTCTGTATATAAGGACACACATTCATATCTGCTAATGTTACATACATAGTGTATTTATATGCCTATGTATATTTATTCATATTTGTCTGTGATTTCTGTCTAAACATATACTATATATTCTCATGTGTATGTATCTTTACATCTATGTATAGCTATACACATATATTAATACCAACTGTTTATCCTGTTTATTAAATTAATGTTTTTGTGTTTCATTAAATAATTTGCATTCATTGAAATGTTTTACAGTTGACCTTTGGGGCCACCGTAGTTATTCGTTTTATACTTAAAAATGGTCACTGGATCACATTAGATGGGCCAGAAAAAGCTGATATAACGGACATCCCTCTCTGTGATTCAAACACATTAAGGGCTGTTTATTATTGGTGCACATTTACGTCTGTGAGAAAAGTTTTGATGTTTTTAAAAATATATGACAAAGTGCTTTCTTATGTCGCCTTAACTATGAAGAAATGCAACTTAAAGTAGCACAGTTGCTATTGAGTGTATGGAGTATATTCACCTGTTAATGTAGGGATCCTGAAGAGAGTCGAGTGCAGTCTGCCAGCTGAGTTTGTACTTGTCGGAGCCCAACATGTCTGAGAGCAGGTCTGGAGACACAAAGAGAAGTTACATAACTATGTGTAACCAGCTGTTTGCTGTTTGTCCACCTCTCTCATTATGGTAAGAAGAGGCATTACTTTAACCTTGACTAATCAATGAAGTTAAAGCCTAATTCAAAACAAATTAATAGTGTAGTTTGGAGATAGTGATAGGATATAGAGATACTGCAGATATTAATTTTTATACTAATACATTACATAAACAACAAAGCTTAATCTGTACCATAATACTGGCCATGTGGTGTACTGGTCAGGCTCTTATTCAATGATTTTGTGTTGAACTTGTTTCCTTTTGGTATCAACATGTACCTGGTATGAGTCTCATCAGGCAGTGTAAAGCTTGTTGCCTGGTGTCGTCCTTCTCCTGCTGGCTGCGTTCAAGTACAGGCTCTGTAGGCAGAGCTCCTCCAGGCCACACGGCCTCCTGGATCACCTGCAGGTACGCAACCCAGTAACTGGTGCAGGTCAGGTTGGCTACGCTCACATCCAACCATCTGAAATGCCAAACACAGAACAGAAGTTTCAAGTTAATAATGAATGTCAATGTAATGTTTGGTTCATTCAGAACATTTTCAGCACATAACTTTGCTATCAGCAAGCCACTTTGTTTTAGCACAGTTGATTGACGCAACAGCTACGGATTCCTCTGCCAGCAGCGCCCTACATCAGCAATTGTCCTGCTCCATTTTATCCCAAATCAAAGAGCAAAGAACTCTGCAATAGCTGGTTCAACTCCTCAATTTCAGTCAGTGGGTTCAATGTGTTGTGATCTTGTCATCATGCCAAACCTGATCAGAACTCAACAATTTTGGTTTCACACCAGCCAATCCTTTTAAATGTATTCATACCTCATCGCATTCCCACACGGATCTGAAACTTAACATGCAGCAGGCGAGTCCTGCCCGGTACAGTCTCACACTGAAACTGATTTCAACCTGGGCCTATTTCCCTCCAGTCTTCCACGTTCCTGCTAGATTTGAGGTCTTGTGATGAGTAAATTCAATAGGTGTTGTATTGCTGGGAGATGTTGACCCCTTCTGTACCGACCTGACCTTTTCCACACCAAGATTTACTATCTGAGGGATGGAAACACAGCCAGTCGCCAAACAGACTGGGTGAGTGGGGGTGGTTATTTAAAGCACAAAGCTAAAGCTAAAAACAACATCTCAATGTAGCTCGAGTATTCGAGCACTGTACGGGTCAGGCCCATAAAGCTGTGGGAGACACTCGCAAGCCGACAGTAGTGCAGATAAAACCAGTCCTGACAATTACTATATGCATTATAAGATGCTTCGAGATCATTTAAGGCCTTGAATTGGATAATTTCAGATTCTGTAAGAGTTTTCAAAGAATTGCAGACACCCTTAAAATGTTTAACGCCATGCAGATGATGTTATGCAACATTGTTTAAAACCTCAAAGCTCTGTTAAAGAGAAGCCAGGACCTCCCTCTGGGCCTAATGTTCTGCTTCTTTTGCTCACTTCATGTGGCCCCTAATGAAGTTATTTCATTACCTTGTTCTGGCCTGTTACCACATTGCAGAGCGGCAGTCACATAAGCTATGGATAGACTCAGTGTGCCAGCCACAATGTTACATACCTCTGTCCTGTAGGATTTCATAACAGTGCAAGAGTTGCCAAATCCTTCCTAACGATGGTATTTTAAATCCCTCAAGTTGTACAACTGCAGAGAAAACACAGACGTGGTAACGCACCAGACTGCTGGTTTAGGGGGTAACATCTTGAACTTTTAAGGATAGCACATGATCAGGCCGATTTTAAGGAGATGCTAAGAGAATGATGTGCATCCAATTCTAAGCATTTCTGAAACTATGAGTGGAATATAACAGAACATGGAATCAGAAAAAGAATCACAAAGGCTTTACGAACACAAGAAGGTGTTTAAAATGATAAAGAAATACTAAAGATTCTTCTCTGTTTTAGGTCAGCAATCACATTTAAAGCCACTGTGAGATACTACGTTATTTTGTTTAGATCTTTGCAACAAAAATGTATGACTTGTCTCTCTTGGCTGATCTTGTCCTGGAGTTACAATAGTAGTGCTTTTAAATATTCTCTATGGCAACATCCAGTCAGCAGTACACAACAAGTTTCTGCCACTTGTCATCAGACTTAGTTAAAAAATGATTTTTATGCTATTGCTTTTGATGCAATGGACTTTACTTAAGTGTGCATCAAGGCAACATCTCTTAATCTGTTCCCCTTCTTAATAATCGTTCTGTACAAAGTTTCAATTTCAATGGAGTGGTCACTCAATATAAGCCCCTTTTCAAACATGCACTGCACCCCTGAAATTGTCCGAACATGGTGCGGTTGAGTTGCATGTGTGAACAAACAGACAATTATTTCATCCCGACTCCAGGTGGACTTTTCCTGCCAGTCCCAAATCCAAATGTTTCTGTGATGTCAGGGGGAGTCAATGCAGCACACTCAAGAACATCTAACTTTGTCTTAATTAAATAACTTAAGGAGTGTTGTTGTTCCCCAGTAATGATACAAAAACGACTTGTAGTTAGTTAGGATGATGATTAATGAGCTGCAGCTGTGCACACAGCGAGTAAACACACTTAAATTTCAGTTAGGGTAAGTGTGAGTGCACAAATAAAACCTAACAGACTAAAAGAAAAGATAAGAAATTGTAATACATCGTGTAACTCCCTCCAGTTGGAGAGAATGGCGTTTCGATAATACAGTTTGCACTGTGATTTCTACTGACACAGCAAAAATATAAACAAAATCACTTACACCAGTAAAATCACTTGGCAGGAAAATGACTCAGCCTAATGAACAGAGTCAGAGGAGCCCAGTTGGGTGGCTCTTTTAAAAAGGAGGAGGAGCGCTAACGTTCATAATGAAGTGTCTGCAGCCTCGATGCAGATCTTTTCAGATAAATAACGCCATTTATTAAATGTGTGCCGGCTCAGGTTATGTGCGTGTGTCTCATTTGAATAAAAGATAGATCTAATATGGAGCTTCACACACTCCCAACCCTGAGAGCCCGAGGGAACAGTGTCATAGATTTATATTTCTGCACTTTATGACAGTGAGCTACTGTTTCACTGAACCAAAGAGACTGGATTTGGGGTATTTTGTTACTCCATTCTATTGTGACGACGTGAAGCAGCCTTGCCTATTACTAAATGTTGGATAGTTTCTTGTAGTATTTATTTTTTACAATGATTTCATTATATTTAATAAGCTGAAGAGTACAATCTATGATGCTTTGTTCAGTTTCAAATTAAATTAAAAAAAAAAGAAAATTGAAAAATAAATCCATATGTGGTTCATTTTCAGAATAAGAATGTGAGTTGCAAAATATGGACTGAGTTAAAGGTTAGAAATTGGAAAAAGATTGCAGGTCCCAGAAAAACTCAAAATTAGAAACATCTTAAAACCTTGAAATTAACTTCATTATTTCAAAAACTTAATAAGCAAGGCATGTTTATTTATCATGACACAGAGTGTGTGTGTGTGTGTGTGTGTGTGTGTGTGTGTGTGTGTGTGTGTGTGTGTGTGTGTGTGTGTGTGTGTGTGTGTGTGTGGGGGGGGGGGGGGGCTTAAAAGAGACATTAAAATTGCATGTAAAAAGGCATGGAGCAGAAGAGAAAATACAACAGTTAAATGTATATTGATGCTACATCTGCCTTAAAGGAACATGCACAAAACTGGTTACATTTTACACCAATAGCCCACCAGTCATTGTGGGCCCTTACAAAACCAAGAAGCCCCTCATGTTGCTTATACCAACCAAGTGGACTCTTTAAAACGTGCTCTTTTTTTTTTGTTACTTTTCCAATTTTTCCAGTACAGCATATAGGATGCATATTTTGTGGTTGACCATATAACTCAAATGGCTAAAAATAAAGCTGAACACAGTCATGAAGAGGAGTAATCATAAGAATAAAGAATAAGCACACCTTTCCAGCACATTTTGCTTAATGAGGTTATTTCTGGAGACCATGAAATTGCTTCATAAGACCTTCATCATATGTGGACCAATAAAAATACTTTAGTGGTATTTTCCCATAATGTATGTCGCTATTTATGGCAGACATCATGTACCATTGTCCAAAATTAAAGCTAAGTGTCTAAAAGTAGCTTCACACTTCAGTTAAATGGACTTACTGACCCAGTCTGGTCTGGGAACACGTTTGATTGGAGGCACGCCGCAGACCAGCTGTCCTAAATATTCCAGACTTTCTTTCTATTCTTCTGACGCCCATCACAACATGATTAGGAAAATGAAACAATACCATATTAAATGCTAGGCATGAATAGATGGATGGATTACTTTCTTAATCCACGGGGGAAAAACGTTTAAAGACCGAGCAGGAATACTTTTTGTAATCATGCCGTCAGTTAAAAATGAACTGACGGCATGATTACAAAAATTACAAAAGATGCAGAACGTGTTGGTCCAAGGCTCAACTACAGCTTAAATCAAATCATCAGGTTTGTATCCATAAATCTGTCAAATGATCTGCACAATATCAAGTAATCAATTTCATATCACCAACAGTATCAGCAATGCAGAGCAAGTACGATAATACTTTAGGAAGACATGCTTCATATATCCACATTGTGTGGGGTATAACTGGTTGGTAGCGTGATTCTACTCAGAGTATTCTTATTTATATTTTTTTATAACTCAGTTATCATCACTAATGTGTAATATCATTTATATCAGCTGAATCAAAAGGGAAACATGATAGAAAGGTTTTAAGAAGCAGACCAAGTTCCTCTCATATATTGGGTTTTATAAAATTAGGTTTTCCTCTTTGGTGATGGCAAATTGGGGAAAATAAATCATTATAAAACATGGGAAGTTTTAAGACCAGCACTTTTAAAGGTCCAATATGTAAAGATATTTACTGAATTAACTTATGAAAAGACCTTAATATATCATCATACATAAAGGAAACATGCTATGTTGAAGTGCTGACAACAACACAGCAGCCTGTGCTTGTATGTCCTCCTAAAGTTTAGATTTTCACCAGTGAAGTAGGTGGCATCCCCACACAGCCATTTTGCCCCTCGCTTTGCCTGGTAAATGGCAAACCAACAGGTGTTACAGCGATGAAAGCGAACAAATGAACTGGTTCAGATAGAAGTGATTCTACTTGACGTAAAAAGCCTCAACATTTTTCTTATTACTGAAGCTCCACGAGCAGAAACGTGCTCAAACTAGGAGAAATATTGGAGATTCTTTCAAAAAAGGGAGAGAGGTTAGAACACAGAAAGGTTTCAGACTGATGCAGAGCTGGCTAAACACTGAAGCTACAGTGTCCATGAAATGGCAACTTGTATGCACATTGACTCTAGAGAGGAGGGGGAGACAGCGCTCTCCATTGATTTTAATTTTGACTGCAGTACCCATTTTAAACACTAGGTGTCAGAGTTACTTATCAGTCCTATAACTATTTTGCACAAAACTTGAACACCTGAGCCTGACTGACCGATGAAGGAAGACAGAA